CGGGAGCTGCTCCAGTCTGGGGTGGGAGCGGGGCCGGCGCTGGTCCAGGCACCTCGTGCGAGGCCGCTGTCGTCCGTGGTCCTGCCGGGTCTGCCCCCCACTTTGTGCCGCTTTTGGGGCGTGAAAAGCCGGAGCAAACCCCGAGGAGCGGCTCCGTGCTGCAGGATGCTCCTGGGCTGGGTCCCCTCTGCGGACAGGATGGTCCTGGGCGGGCTTTACGTGCCCAGCACGATGCCAGAGCAGCAGCAAACGGACAAAATGCCCAAACTGGTCGTGCTGGGGGCAGAGGGCGCAGACAGACGGACGGACGGAGAGGATCCGAAGTGTTTCACGGGTTCAGTTTTTTGCGGCTCGTGTAAAAGAGGTGACACACAGACTTGTCCCGCGCTGGGTCAGGGGGCGGACAGACTGACGGACACAGCATCCCTTGGGATCAGTGGGATGGACAGAAGGACGGACAGAAGTTGGGAGCACAGACGGCCAGCATGGGCTTCAGGCAGCAGATCCAGCAGGACAGACAGACGGCCGATGGACTGAACATCCAGCCTGGCTCAGGCAGGACGGAAAGACAGATGGACGTGGGGAAATACATCCCATAGTTCAGATCGGGGGCAGAGCTAGGGACATGGGCCATTTGGACAGACGGACAAACACAGCATTTTGGATACCCACCACGTGGTTCAGGTCGTAGACGGACAGACGGACTCGAGCTCTTGGCTCAGATGCCCAGCACACGTTTGGGTAGGAGATGCGGCAGACAGACGGACGAACAGACAGATGGCTGGACACTGTCTGGGCAGCTCAGACATCCAGCATGTGGTTCAGGTCGTAGACGGACAGACAGACTCGAGCTCTTGGCTCAGATGCCCAGGACATGTTTGGGTAGGAAATGTGGCAGACGGACGGACGGACAGACAGACAGACAGACGGTTGGACGGCTCAGACATCCAGCAGGTGGTTCAGGTCGTAGACAGACAGACGGACTCAAGCTCTTGGCTCAGATGCCCAGGACACATCCAGGTAGGAGATGCGGCAGACAGACGGACGGACGGACAGACAGACAGACAGACAGATGGCTGGATGGCTCAGACATCCAGCACGTGGTTCAGGTCGTAGACAGACAGACGGACTCGAGCTCTTGGCTCAGATGCCCAGGACACATCCAGGTAGGAGATGCGGCAGACAGACGGACGGACGGACAGACAGACAGACGGCTGGACGGCTCAGACATCCAGCAGGTGGTTCAGGTTCTAGACAGACAGACGGACTCGAGCTCTTGGCTCAGATGCCCAGGACACATCCAGGTAGGAGATGCGGCAGACAGACGGACGGACGGACAGACAGACAGACGGCTGGACGGCTCAGACATCCAGCAGGTGGTTCAGGTTCTAGACAGACAGACGGACTCGAGCTCTTGGCTCAGATGCCCAGGACACATCCAGGTAGGAGATGCGGCAGACAGACGGACGGACGGACAGACAGACAGACGGCTGGACGGCTCAGACATCCAGCAGGTGGTTCAGGTTCTAGACAGACAGACGGACTCGAGCTCTTGGCTCAGATGCCCAGGACACATCCAGGTAGGAGATGCGGCAGACAGACGGACGGACGGACAGACAGACAGACGGCTGGACGGCTCAGACATCCAGCACGTGGTTCAGGTAGGAGATGTAGCAGATGGCCAAGCGCAGGATCTCGATCTTGGAGAGTTTCTTGTCCGGCGGGAGGGTGGGCAGCAGCTTGCGCAGCTCGGCGAAGGCCATGTTGAAAGCTTCGACGCGGATGCGCTCTCGCGTGGCGTGGGCTGTCCGGTATTTGGCCGTAGCGCGGCGCCGGCGCCGACGTTCCTCCCGACTCAGATGCTGGAGGTCTTTCTTCACGCCGTCGCTCGGTTCGGTTATCCGGGATTGAGCGCACAAACCGCCGCCAACGCCGGTGTCCTCCGCGCCGCCCGCGCGGCTGCAGTCGCTGAAGACGGATTCGGACTCGGAGTGTGGCGGGGGAAGGTCGAGCTCTGTCTGGTCCGAATTGAGCATCATCCTGGCGGGAGAGGAGCGGACGGACAGACGGATGCTTCAGAGATGGGGTGCGGCGGGAGGATGGACTGACCGGGGCACAACGTCGAAAAAAAAAAATCTGTTCTATTTTAAAGAGAAGGTCTCCAGCTCATGGCAAGCCCTTGGTTATTCTCCTCCTCTTCCTCCTCATCACACTCAGTCTCCACAAGGGAATTTCCAAATTTTCTCTTTTCTCTAGAGAACCCGTTGGGTGGGTTACAACGTTAATGATAAATAATGTAAGAGAGACGGCGGGATGCATATAAATACAATAAATAACTAAATAAGTATTATTTGTGCATGTGTGCTCTTCCCCGCAGCCGTGGCAGGACCCAGTTTCGGAGCCGTCAGGTCTCAGAGCCGAACTCTTCCCGCAGGCTCTAGAAAACGGAAGCAGAGGGGATCTCAGTCCCGGCGGACGCGAGACACGGAGCGAGAAAACACGGTGGTTTGCTCCACTGGCCCCGTGGCGTTGTCCCCACCTGGAGCTGGGGACACCCCATGGGGATGGGGACACCTCGTCGGGATGGGGACACCCTGTGGGGATGGGGACACCCTGTTGAGCTGGGGACACCTCGTAGGGATGGGGACACCCTCTTGGGATGGGGACACCCTGTTGAGCTGGGGACACCGTGTCGGGCTGGGGACACCTCATAGGGATGGGGACACCCCGTAGGGATGGGGACACCCCATGGGGATGGGGACACCCTGTTGGGCTGGGGACACCCCATGGGGATGGGGACACTCCATCAGGATGGGGACACCCTGGGGGGATGGGGACACCCTGTTGGGATGGGGACACCCCATTGGGATGGGGACACCCTGGGGGGATAGAGACACCCCATTGGGATGGGGACACCACGTGGGGATGGGGACACATCGTGGGGATAGGGACACTCCATCAGGATGGGGACACCCTGGGGGGATGGAGAAACCCCATTGGGATGGGGACACCTCGTGGGGATGGGGACACCCCGTTGGGATGGGACGAGGCTCCGTGGCTCCAGCAGCGGAGATGGAGCCAGTGGTGTGGCTCCAGGAGAAGGTGGAAACCATTTCTCCCAGTTCTCCGGAGAGATGACAGGTGGTGGATG